CCCCTCTCTCTCTCTCTCTCTCTCTCTCTCTCTCTCTCTCTCTCTCTCACACACACACACACACACAGAGAATGCGAGATAGAACTCCCTGGTTGAACCTAGGTACTATTACAGGCTCAGGTGTAGCAGCGAGAATTGAGTCGAAGTTCACCATTCTCTACTTTTATGGTCTTCTGGGGAGAGAATATTCTCTATTTAACATTCTACTACAGTAGAGTAAAGGAAAAGAGAGATCAGAAGTTATACCTCGGTTCCCATCCAAGTACTTCCGCCATTCCAACAAATGAAAGAAGAAACGGAATTCCTCTCTTAGCTGCTTGGATTGCTAGCTCACGGTGACCAATATGGAGTGCATCAAACTTTCCCAGAGCTACTATCCCACCTTTTGAAATGAAACCAATAATTGAGAATCTACACATAAATGATATCCAAGAATCCTCTATTTCTTCTCATTAACAACAATGTACCAAGTGGAATTGAAACTCTTTTTTTATTTGATCATAAGCAACAAGTAGAATTGAACCTCACTGATCTAAATATGTAATTTTAAATCCAAAGTAAATTAAGAATAAAATATGCAGATTGACCATTCAACTGTTCAGAGATTGTCCCTATTTCTTCTTAATAAAAAAAAAAGTGCATGGTAAATGGAAAGAACAGGTTGAAGTGTTAGCAAAATAAATAGATGAAAGAATGGGCAATATTTCCCTTTATAATGACTCGTCTTGGAGCATGTTTCAATGGTTTTCACTTTTTCTTTTAGTTTCTATAATCTTGTGGTCAAATTTCTGTTAGAGGAAGGCATTAAACTGAAGCTTTCACAGGGTCATGCATACGCTTCATGTAACCAATATCCCTAGATGTGCTTTGGCGAGAGAATTTTCCCTAACCTTCGAATGGAAGTTATCCAAGAACATAACGACAAGATGTTATTGGAGTGGAACATATTTTGTAGTTTTCTGAAGTGATTGCAGGAAATATGATGGTTATTTATTGTGTGATATTTCAAGTATTGCTGAGATATTTGATGCCCAGCTGATGTTAGAAATGAAGTACAAGAAAATTGTTTAGTGATATTAACAAAGGGAAAAGCACATTGGATGTGGCCGACTTATCAATATATATATATATATTCTTTCAACTCAATAAAGTGAACAGTCTGTCTTTTCTTTTGTGATTCTTTTAATGTTAACCTGATGCTTCAAGTGACCTTACCTCAGGGGATCCTGACAAATTCCAAGTCTAGACTTTACTTTTTTTAACTCTTCGGTTAACAATCATTAAGGGCAATGTTCACATTCAATTTTCTCTGAATTTTGTCTCAACGTTTACTAACCAATTGGAAACAGCCTCTCTACCTCAAACGAGGTAGGGGTATGGTCTGCGTACACCACATCCTCCCCAGGTAGGGGTTGGTGTTGGTGTTTATTGACGAGTACGAGCCTCTTCTGCTAATAAAACCCATAAAGGCTCACCAGTTTTCTTACAATTGAAATCATTGACAGTTTTTAAATCAGCCCGTGAAATCCTCATTCTTCCACTAGTAGGCTAGAGACCAGTCACTTGTGCACTATTGCACGAGAAGTCTTTAAAATGGTGTTTAAGAATCCTAGCAATATTATCCATGATATTGAGAGGCTAGTCTTTGACCTTGCAGTACAACTGAAGCACACAGACTGAAACACGTATAAATATGTACACTAACTGAAATTGCTAAATCTTGATACCTATTTCCCACATTTTCTTTAGAAACCAGGAAGAGTAAAATAGAAATTTACAAAAGGAAAGAATAAGATAAGAGAAAATAGCAAGTTAACCAAGAAATATGATATAGGGCTAACAACAACTGCAGACAAGTATCTGTGTAGCATTTAATCATTGAAGAAACTTAAAGATTCAGAATAAATGATAAAAAATGGGTATTAATATAAATTCAGCATACATGTAATACCATTTGATAATTTTGTTACAGTTAGTATATGGTTAGAGCATACCTGCAAGCATGGTCAATCTTTCTGATGGAGGCTCCTCATCAGTTCCGGATTGGCTTTACATGAAAATTGTGAAGAAAACACAAATGAGCACTGGGATTCTAAAGTAAGTCATACTTTAGAATAAAAAACGAAATTACAATGTCAATGCAATGAAAAAAAAACCTGACCTAGATTTAGTGGAATCCTGACCTCGGCAAGCATTTAAACATAAAATGAAAATTACAAGCAAAATCTATGTCCAGATAAAATTATTTAAATGTATAACCCACTCATCTAAAAACTTATAACAATTAGGAGGACGCTCTTATTTATTTGTTTTAGGTCTACAACGTGCTCTCTCATGTGCAGGGCCTGAATCATTTTATTGGGCCAAGCATGTCGAAATATTTTTATAGATGACGTGCAACGAGACTCAAACACAGACATGTGTCTGCTCTGTTATGCGGTTGAACTGTGTGAATCCTCTCATCTAAAGCTTTAAACTGTCTGAGATAAATTATTTTATTTACACCACAGTTTGGTATGCACAAAGGCCTGGCTGCCCGCCTACTTGTATGATTTTCCAATAAACTTGTCATATTATTTTCGTCAAAAATGTAATCCCAGCTTAATGTTGCAACAAATTTTCCACTTCAATCTTATTGCAGTTATAAAAGAAAGTCTCCTTCCAGCCCTTCGTTCACTTACTCTATTTGCAAGAATAATGAGCTTATAAATCTAGTTTTTTTTTAAAAACTTCCTTTCGTACACTTTCCTTTTAAATGACAAAAGAGCTTAAAAATACAAGTGCAAAAGAGATAAAATTTATCTCAAACTATTAGAAAGCAAGGAGCTCTGGATTCTGGTTGCACACAATTGACAAAACAGACACTCAATTTTTATTCTTTTTTTAATATCGAGAAATTCCTGAAGGTCGGTGGTGCATGGTTCGTAAAGAGCCGCTCCTCTACCCTTCCTCACTTAAATGCCAAAATCCACTGCGGAGCTTGCATCCCGTGTTGCGCTACCACTAGACCAAAGCTCACTCAATTTATTGCTCAAACAAGAACAGCTATGTTAAGTACCTCAAATTTTCAGAAAATAAAGAGCTTTAGATATTCTGAAGATTTGGATTTTACACAATTCACAAAAAGTACCCCAAAAGAACTAAATTTACTGCTCGAATTACCCCAAAATCACTAATTTTACTGCTGAAAGAATAAATGATGTTATAAATTTACCTCAAACATTCAGAAAGCAAAGAGCTTTGGATATTCTGAAGATTTGGCTAGTACACAATTCATAGAAAGTACCCAAAAACTAAATTTACACCTCAAATGTACACCCAAAAAAGCACTAAATTTACTGCTGAAAGAGTAAAAGATGTACAAATTACCTCAAACTTTCAGAAAGTAAAGAGCTTTGAATATTCTGAAAATTTGTCTAGTACCCAAAAAGACTAAATTTACAGCTCAAATTTACCACCAAAAAATCACTAAATTTACTGCTGAAAGAGTAGAAGATGTTATAAATTTACCTCAAACATTCAAAAAGTAAAGAGCTTTGAAAATTCTGAAGATTTGGCTAGTACCCAAAAAGACTAAATTTACAGCTCAAATAAAAAATCACTAAAATTGCTGCTTAAATAGTAAAAGATGTTACTATAAGATTTACCTCAAAGTTTGAGAAAGCAAAGAGCTTTGAGTATTTGAAGAATTGGGCTGAACACAATTGACCCCAAAATCACTAACTTTATTCCTTAATCTAAATCTGAAGTAGTTGAATGAAGAAGTTGAGATTGGTGGAGAAGCAGCAGTGAAAATAGGAGTAGTAGAAGTGCAAAATTGGTGAAAATTAGAGTCTCTTAAGTGCTGGGATATACAGCGAGACCCACCCAACATTCTTATTTTTCATCAGAAGAAGAATATGGAAATGGGTGTTGGCCTATTGCTGTAGCAATTTTTTTTTTTTTTTTTTTGGTTCTTCTCCTTCTTAAAAAGCCTATCACGTGGGCATATTTGTATCGATAGTTTTGATTCTCCTTTTTTGTTCTTTTTCTTTATTTTTCTTTTGTTGGGGAGAGAGAAGGGTGGGCTAAGGAATTGAATAATTTATGTTTTACTAATCTAATCCACGTGCTATATTTATGTATAATTTGATTTTATACCATTCGATCCCTAAGAACATCGCTATATAATGTTTTGAAAATCATATACTAGTATTAAGTAAAGTCTGATATAAAATAAGGTGAAATTACATTGTTTAGTTCTGAAAATTAAAATTTGAAAAACAAACAAACAAAAAAAAAACCACCCCTTTTGTTTAGGACATCCTTTGGTTCTGTTTTGATTTTTGCACATGGAAGAAATAAATACCGGTAATTGAAAAATAGTCGGCGTTTGCAAAGTCATCGAAAAAAGTCACTATTTTGCTGCAACACGGAAAATTCCAACATAATATATTGGATATTGGTGCACCTGTATATGAACTTCCAACATATTATGCTGAAACTCTAGCATACGGAAAGTTCCAACATTATATACCGGAGATTGGAGCACTTGTGTTTGAACTTCCAGCATAATGTTGGACCAGTATATTATATGGGTGTCTAACAGGTGGGCCGGGTCACACTGGGTAGGGAAATGTTGGAACCGTACTGGTTACGAACCGGGCCGGTTACGGGTTAGGGGTTATCGGGCTTAACGGGTTCGGATTAATCCAGGTAAAAAATAAACCGTAAGGGTTACGGGTACAAGGGGCCGGGCCGGGTTAGTGTAATCTTTAATTTTTTTTTTTTTAATTTTGTATAACTATTGTAAGTTATATTAATATAAAGTAAAAATATAAAGAATACAATGAAGATGGAAAAAAATTGCACTTTATAAATTGCAAGTGCTACATTTATTTCAAAATTACAAACTGAAGTTTGCATTTAACAAGTAAATTAACGAAAAAAGAGTAAAACTAAATTTTCATGCATAATAGTACTTCAAATTAATCTAACAAACAAAAACATTAAGTATAAATACGTCTAATAATTTTAAAATAACACAAATTGTCTTAAATCAACTTAAATACGAATTTCTGGAGGACGCTCAAGACAACTCTTCATATGCCTCCTTAAACAATCTGTGCCCACACACTTTGGACAAATATTTAAGACTCGACCACAGTTCTTGCACTTTACTTTGTGAACTTCTTCATTTTCTTCTACAACCTCAAAGTGTTCCCAAACATATGAGCGCACTCTAGAAGTACGTGGCATGATTTAACTTGAATTGAGAATTTGATTTTGAGAAATGAGAGATGAGTGAAGAAATGAAGAAGAGGGGGGAGGAGGGGAGTGTATTTATAATTTTTCAAAGGGCTATATTAGCAATTACAAAAGATATTAAATTTTAAAAAAATTGGCCCAAAAAGGGCTAAATGCAAAACAGCCGTTGGGCCAACGGTCAGAAAGTAGAAACATTAAAAAAAAAAGAAATTGAAAGAAGCCGTTATACCGGTCTGGTCCGTTCCGGGCCAGGCCGGTTAACCGGTTCTATAGTAAATCGCGTTGACCGGGTTTGACCGTTCCGGTTAACCGGTTGCACGAAGGTGAACGGGCCAACCCCCTTACCCCATTAACCCAGCCCACTCGGCCCCCTTTGTACCGGTCCGGGCCGGTTCCGATTTCAACCGGTCTGGGACGGTCCGGAAACGGGTTGACATGGCCCGTTAGACATCCTTAGTATATTATGTTGGAAGTTCACATGTAAAAAATTCGAACTCCAGTATATTATGCTGGAATATTTTTCGGATTTTGAATAGTGTTTTCATTCAGATTCACTTTTACATGAAAAGTGGCTAAATCGATTACTTTTAAAACTGTAGCTATTTTTCAATTACCACTTGTAAATTTGGTTATTTTTGAATTTCACCCCTTCTCGGGTGGAAGTAGGGGTGGGCATCCGTCGCTTCGGTTCTGTTATGAATATTATCGGTTTAGCATATCGGTTATCGGTTTACAAATTTAATAAACCGATAACCGAACCGATAAGATATCGATTATCGCTTATCGGTTATCGATCATTATCGGTTCGGTTGTCGATTTACCCGATAAGATAACTCAATCTAGAGTTAAGCAAAAAAGAGAAGACAATTCAATGGAGTTAAGCAAAAAAGAGAAGAATTCACATATAGTATTCTACCCATTTCTGCGTTCTGTTCGGTGGCCACAACTGGAATAGTACTAATTCTTCAACAATAGTTGTTCAAATACATTAATAATAATACAAAGTAGTAGCAATTTCACCTTAAAATTAACAAGTCCAAATATATAGTACTAACAGTCCAAGATAAATTGGATGTTGTTTGTCAAATGCTTAACCTGATAAAGGAAACCCTAGAGCAAAACCTTGATCTGTGCATGGGCAATACTAACACATAAATGAAAAACACCTAGAAGGCAAGAAAATGTTGTTCTGTTGTCAAAGCTCAGCGTACTGTACAGAAGAATAATGTTCAAAAATATACCTGAAACTGACGAAGATTGTCGATTGACAATTCATAAGTGCGAAGAGAAATTGGTATTAGTTATAGGCTCCACAACGTGAGCTCACAAAATTAAGAAACGAAAATAAAAAATAAAGAATCATTAACCGTCAAAAATACCAATATGAAGATGAATTTTGTTATAGAAATTAAAATCCTAACGTATAAGACTAAAGACTTACGCTAGGAGTAACTAGTAAGGTCTATGAAGAATGAAGATGAAACAACTGAAGAGTGCGGCTAAGAAAGAATAGGAGAGAATGAACTGAAACCCTAGCATATGTATATACTTAAGGGTAAAGTCATAATTTTATTTATTCTTATTGGGTTATAAGTTAACCCATTAACAAAATTAGCAACCCGAGGCCCGAACCGGTAACCCAATAATGAAAAAATTCTAAACCGTTACCGAACCGTTAATTCAATAACCCAATACCGATAACCCAATAAGCAATTAAAGGTACTGATTATGAAATTCAAAAATAGCCAGATTTACAAGTGGCCGTTCAAAAATAGCCCAGTTTCAAAAGTAATCGAAATTTTGCCACTTTTCATGTAAAGATAAATCTGAGCGAAAACACTGTTCAAAACCCGAAAAATACGCCAGTATATTATGCTGGAGTTCCAGCATAAGTGTACTTGAACTCCAGCATATTATGCTGGAGTTTCAGGATAAGTATGCTGGAACTCCAGCATAATATGATGGAGTTCCAGCATAAGTACACTAGAACTCCAGCATAATATACTAGAGTTCTAGCAAAGTATATCGGTCCAGTATAATATGCTGGAAGTTCATAAGCAAATGCTCGAATCTCCAGTATATTATGCTGGAACTTTCCGTGTGTTGGAGTTCCAGCATAATATGATGGAAGTTCATACACAAGTGCACCGAACTCCAGTATATTATGCTGGACCGGTCGCTGTTGCAGCAAAATAGTGGCTATTTTTCATTAATTGGTAAGTGCGGGCTATTTTTAAATAACCAGTCCGAAAACTGGCTAGACCGTGCTATTTTTACGATTTTACCCCATATATGTCCAGCCCTAGGTGGAAGAGGCCCAAGCTAGGGAACGATAAAGAAAGGCCCGGTGTTTGGAACTCAAAGTTAAATACTCTATTGTTGAGCGGACAGCACGGGGACACAACCTCAATACTTGCGTCACCGCCGTCGCTTCTCCGGTCTAGGCTTCCGATCATGAGCTCGTCCTCCGATCATCTTCCGCCACTTACACTTCGCACCGTTTCTATATCATACTCGGAACTCAAGGACAGAAACGCTGATTTATCGGCAAAAATAGAACAAGGTTTTGGTCCAAATGGTCTTGGAATTCTCTCCATATCAGAGGTTCCTGGTTATTCATTATGGCGTAAGAATCTCCTCCAACTTGGTCCCAGGTTAGCTAACCTTCCTGAAGATGTGAAAAGAGAACTTGAAGACCCTAATAGTAGGTATAATTTTGGATGGAGTCATGGAAAAGAAAAACTCGAATCAGGAAAATTAGATCTTTTAAAAGGATCTTTCTATGCAAATCCAATACTAGATGTACCTACAACAGATCAATCCCTAATTGAACGGTATCCATCATATTGCGGGTCAAATATTTGGCCTCGTAATGTTTTGCCTGAACTTGAAACAGCATTTAAAACCCTTGGAAAGTTGATACTTGATGTAGGATTGCTCTTGGCTTATCACTGTGATAGCTACGCAAAGCTAGAGGGTACTGACTGTGGACTTGAATGTTCACTAGTTCGCTCTAGATGTCATAAAGGACGTCTGCTTTACTATTTCCCAGCGCAACATGGGCAGCAGACTGATGCTGCCCATGCTGCCTGTGATTCCATGTCATCTTGGTGCGGATGGCATACAGATCATGGTTCACTTACAGGTCTTACACGTGGCATGTTTTCGAGAAATGGTGTAGGAGTAGTTTGCCCTGATAGTGCTGCTGGCCTTTACATAAGAACGCGAACTGGTGAAATAGTCAAGGTGGAGTATGGGGAGGATGAAATAGCATACCAAATAGGTGAAACAACAGAGATCCTCTCAAGTGGACGGCTTTGTGCGACACCACACTGTGTTCGGGCTCCACAGGGTGAGGGTGATGCTACAGCTGGTGTTGATCGTACAACGTTTGCATTATTTATGCAACCTGATTGGGACCAAAAGCTTAACTTTCCAGAGGAGGTGCATATTCATCAGGAATTGATTCAATCCAATGGATCTCTTACTTTTGGAGAATACACCGAGAAGCTCCTTGACAAGTACTACCACCTCAAGATGTAAAAGCCCTCAGATAGTTGTTAGGATAGTAGATTTGAGACCTTCATCCTCTGATCTTCGATAGATACATCGAGCAGTATGCAGACACTTGCTTACAATTGCGGAGGTGATCTTCTGAAATGGGGTTTCGATATTCTGATAAAGACAGGAGAAAAAAATGTCAATGTAGTATAAGCTCTTGTCCTTCTAACAAAAGCTAGTTGATTAGATCTTGGTAAATCATGTATTTCAACACCTTCATGTACTCAGAAGAACCATATTTTGATGTATATGTGGAATAGTAGTGATTGATTTACCCAAAAAAAACTCTATTCTTGAGCTTCTATTCAATTCTAAAAAACCCTTTTTTCCAAGTGTTTAAAGCATTTAAAACTAAACACCCTCATACAATGAATTGCACCTGCCTTTCTCTGACAACTATGCTAAATTTACCATAACCTTGCAGAGGAAAGGCAATTCTTCAGAAGATTACTTGCAAAAATCGGTCCTTTCGCTCTTCGTTCATTATTGACTAAGCAAAATTCCATGTACAGAAAACTGAATACAAAGCAAGCTGTGTTGTAATCTATACAATGCATTTTTACAAAGGCTTTACAGAATGCAGATTAAATTTCTTATAAATTCAAATAATGAAATCAACTGGTAACCATGCTTGATGGATGTGCGGGTGTACCAGGAGAAATAGGATTAAGAATGAAGCTATCCGGGACAGAGTGGGAGTAGCCTCCGTGGAGGACAAGATGCGAGAGTCGAGGCTGAGATGGTTCGGACATGTTAAGAGAAGAAGCATTGATGCTCCTGTCAGGAGGTGTAAGAGGTTGGCCATGGGGAGTTTTAGAAGAGGTCGAGGTAGGCCTAAGAAGTACTGAACATGGCGCTGATTCAGCTCACTGAGGACATGACTCTTGATAGGAGGGTGTGGAGGTCGAAGATTAAGGTAGAAGGTTAGTGGGTAGTTTTTGTGTTCACCGATAGTCTTAGTAGTATGGATGTCTCCTCATATTCTTAGATTTTTATTACGTTATGTGATTTTGTTCGCCTCAGGTATTGTATTGCCCGTTGCTGTTATTTGGTACTACTTATCATTTATCTTGTATTGCCCGTTGCTGTTATTTGGTACTACTTATCCTTTATCTCTCCCTTTTTCTTGTCTCTTCCTTCTTTCTTCCTTTCTTGCTTTCCTTTTCTTCTTCTTGCCCTTCCTGAGGGGAGGGTCTATTGGAAACAACCTCTCTACCTGCATTAGGTAGGGGTAAGGTCTGCGTACAGACTACCCTCCCCAGACCCCACATGTTGGGATCATACTGGGTTTGTTGTTGTTGTTGTTGTAACTGGTAACCATGCTGCTGCAAAGGTGGTAACAATCTTTTGCAATCTAACCAAAACAGACTAGTTCAAGGGAAAGAAATCTAATACTAATAAGAAATCACGATACACTGGTATATGAACTTAAAGAGAGCAAATCAATCGTGCACCTTAGAGGTGGATCCGGGATTTGAACTTTATTAGTTTGGGTTTCCCATTCTACCACATCCGATCTATTCTACTAGACAAATACAAATCTATTATTTGTAATTAATCCAGTTATTTTTTTAAATACATCTATAGGGGCTAAACCAAAGTTACTAGGATGAGAAAAACCCATAGCTTATTCACTAGATCACCCCTGATCTCTGAAAGTCACTGGCATTACATTGGACTTTACTTCCCTAGGCAAGATTACTGGGAAGAGACAGATGAGATTTGAAGCTTTTCACTCACAAATTAGTGGGGATTGACTATATGAATCTTTTGTATACTCTCTCTAGAGAGGTACAGGAAGATAGCATTTTCCATAAGTCACTTTGAACATCATGCAACGGCAGCAAGTATAGGCTCTTCTAATTCTTCAGATAAGGAAGAATCTGACATGGCCTGCTCCTCATCAGCAGTCAAATGACCAACATTCGGGACATAGCCTGAGAGCTTCATCAGTTTAGTTAGTGTATTCAATATCAGATATATCTCTTTTTTCCGCATATGTCTCCTATCTTTTACCATGAAAACATGAACCTGGCTTTCTATTTCAATCCAACTGCAACCAGGCTGTTTAACAACGCCACGCTCTCTCATAAGTTTTCGGACCATTTTGACATCTTGCCATCTCCCCTGTTCAGCATACATGTTTGATAGAAGAACATAGGGGCCAGAATTTGTAGGATCAATCTCCAGAAGCTTCTCAGCCACATACTTTCCCAACTCAATTTCCCTGTGAATTTTACATGCAGCGAGCAAAGACCCCCATACCACACTATCAGGAGACATTGGCATGGATTCTATCAAATCCTTTGCCTCTGCTAAGCAACCAGCCCTGCCAAGTAAATCGACCATGCATGTGTAGTGGTCCTTCAGCGGGGACAACCCATACTCTGTGCTCATGGAATAGAAATGTTGACGCCCCTCCTCAACCAATCCTGCATGACTACATGCACAAAGAACCCCAATCATGGTCACATGGTCTGGCTTCTCTCCGTACACCAACATACCATTGAAAGTTTCAAGAGCTTCAATAGCATGCCCATTTTGTGCATATCCAACTATTACGGCATTCCACGAAACCCAGTCTCTGTCCAGCAATTTTGTGAATACACAGCTACCATCTTCAACTGATCCACATTTCATATACATGTCTATGAGAGCATTTCCCACAAAAACATCAGACTCGGGTCCATTCTGAAAACGAAATCCATGCTTCAAAATATGTGCATGAGCCTGCCTACCAAGCTTCAGATCAGCTAAATTTGCACATGCATTGAGGAGATTCCCAAATGTATAATGAGTTGGGCAAACAGACTCTCTTTTTAGCATAAGAAAAAGATTTAGTGCCTCCTCATTGTCCCCGTTCTGTGTGTATCCAGCAATAAGAGCATTCCAAGACACAACATTCCTTTCAATCATCCCCGAAAACATGGCTCTTGCAGTCTTCACACTTGCAACTCTCGCATAACCACTTACTAAACAGGTGTGTGACACCACGCTTCTGACTGGCATCTTATCAAAAATCCACCTAGCTTCATCAATCTGCCCAAACTTTGAATACATATCAACCAATGCATTGCATATAATAAGATCATCCCTAAGCTTATTCGACTTCACAATCCGGGCATGAATTTCCTTACCTTCTCTTATCGCACACAAACTTGCACAAGCACTTACTACACTTGCCAAAGTCTTCTCATCCGGTTTATACCCGGAGCCCATCATCGTAGCAAATATCTCAAGCGCCTCGCTTGCTGGCCCATTTTGCTCATAACAAGAAATTAAACTATTCCACGACACCACATTACACTCACCCATCCCATTAAACACCTTTGTTGCACAATCCACATTACCCGTTTTCGCATACATATCAATAAGCGCAGAACCCGTGTAAACATTGTTCGAATACTTGGATTTAGCAACTGAGGCATGAATTTGAGTTCCCATTTTCATGTCCCTTAACCCAGCACAAGCACTTAAACCACTACCATAAGCATACTCATTCAAAACAAAATCTTCTTTGTGCATTCTCGCAAAATACTCTATTGATGAATCAAACAATTCACATTGAGCAAAACTTGACACCATCAAGTTCCATGAGCATTGATCAGGCTCAGGCATTAAGTAAAAGAGTTCCTCGGCCTCAACAAGTAATCTTGATGCTGTATAAGCATTTATCATTGAGTTCCAAGTGAAGGTGTTCTTTTGGGGCATTTTATCAAACACTTTCTTGGCATACTCCAAATTACCACATTTACCATAAGTGTCAATTAGCTTGTTGTTGATGAAGACCTCTGAACTGAAATGGGTCTTGAGGATTAGTCCATGGATAGCGCGTACGACATGTTGGGACTTGGAATTGATGCAAGAGTCTAGAATCTTTGCGAACGGTGTAGAGTTTGGGAGTGAAAAGAGGTTGCAAGTAACGAGATTTTGAAATAAAAATGTCTTCTTTGCCATTTGGCATAGGATTCAAGGAAGATTGAGTGATGGGCATGTTGCTCAGAAGAACATCAGATATTCCAACACAATGAACGTTGTTCCGAATAGTTTATGCACAGATTTCAGTATTGTCTCGGTTTGGTTGGAGCTTTCCCTTTTTAACGAGTTTTAGGCCGGGAAATTCAAATTAATCCAGCCAATACTTTTCGCTTAGGCTAAGTGGGCGTTTGGACATAAGAACTGTAAAATTCTAAAATAGGGTGAAATTTTTTATCAAGTGAAAATGGTATTAGAGTTGTGTTTGGACTTTGGTATGAATATAGTTTTGGGTTATTTTTGGAGTTTTGTGAGTGATTTGAGTGGAAATTTTGAAAAATAGCTTTTTGGAGTTTTTCAAATTTTCGTAAATTTCCAAAATGCATCTTCAAACGAAAATTAGAAATTCTATGAACTGATTCCGAAAAAAAAAAAGTAAAAAATTTTTGGAAAAAAGAAAAAAAAAATCTTATGTCCAAATTAGTAAAATTTTAGTGTGTCTAGGCTCCCGTCAAAAGTCAGAACTACTTCTCCTCCTCTTCCTCCTTTTTCTCTTTCCTTGTTTATTTCCTTCAACAAATTATGAGCATACAATTAAAATTTAAAAATAATAGTGATTCGAATGGAGCGGGTTAATGTTCAATTGAACTTATAATTTCTATCACGAATGATTTGGTTTGTTTTGGTTGGAGAAAGTTAAAAAAAAAAACTCCATTGTTTGATTTTATTGAGCTTGGAAAAAACTTGTTAAAGAAGAAAAAATTGGTCTATTGATTTTTGAAAGTTAGGTTAAATATAACTATTGAAAATTGTTAGCATTGGTATTAGAAAAATATATAGTAGTATATCAAATTTGAAGTCATTTATAGTTGATTTGGATCAATTTTGAAACAAAGATGTGTTGTAAATTTCTATTTTGTTAGCCACTGACCTCAAATAAGAGACTTTCATGATTTGAGATTCGAATTCGGGTCGGATCTGAGAATTATGGTCTGTCAGGATCGGGGTTCGACGTCGAGGTTAGGGTTGAGAGTCCGGGAATTGGGCTCCGAGATTGGGGGTTGGGGTTGGGATTCAGGTCGGGAATGGGGTTGGGGTCTAAGGTCTAGGGTTGGAGGTTAGGGTTTAGGGTCCGAGGTTGGGATACGGGGTCCGGATCAAGGGGTCGAGGTTTAGGGTCAAGGCTCGGAGGTCGGGGGTTAGGGAACATGGTCTGAAGTTTGTTATTTTGAGTTCGAGGTCATAGTATTTGCCTAGATTATATCTAAATGCTCTTGAGATTTTTTTTTTTTTTGTTACTGACCAAACACCAAAAAATAAGTATAAGAAAAACTACTTACTCTTTAGGAAAAAATTTTCATAATAAACACACCATAGGCATTTGAAAATTTATTGGTAGAATCATTTAAGATTATAGATATCGTTTTACTCTTTTATTAGGCAAGTATAGGCTTTACGTTGCTTTGATTATTTTACGATGATTACTTATCAATCGGATTATTTAACAAACTCAATCATAACTTAGTGAAGTATTTTTCTTATAAAGAGAACCCATGGAAAATTTTATACAAAAGAAGAGGGGGACTTATGCAGTTGGCCTTACCTCTCAACTCATCCTATTTGAGGAATGTGAAATAGCATATCAGTTTAGACAAAAGTTTGCTAATTAAAAAAAAGGATTTTTTTTTTGGAGATGCAAAGTCTGAGTAGGCTAATAAGAACGAAACAATTTTATGTTAAAGGGTATTATCACTTTTAGCCCACGCTAGAAACTATTTATATCTGATAGCAGAAAAAGTATATAAAAATTATATAATTTTTGTATATAACATGCAGAATGTATATATATACAAAAAAATATACAAATTTTATGCATATTTTCGGCTATTATTTTTACAGCGCTAGAGTGTCATTTTGTTTTGGACCACTTTACATATATGACTCCTTTTTTTTTTTTTTTAATGTGTAAAGGTTTAATGTTTTCGACCACTATATATGCATATCTTTTTCTTCTTCAAGTTATAATTCGCATCCAGAATTAAGAAGAATCCCTGTGATACTTGATCTCTTTTAAACTAAACAAGAGTGACCTATCAGGAGAATTACCAATCTAATTGGATCTAGTATTGCACACATGGTAGTCAATTTTGCTTTAACCTCTCGGATAACAAAGGGAACCAAAGTAATTAATAACTATATTTTTTTTTTGTGAAAAAGATGGGATGTTTCTAATTTGAACAACAAAGTCAAGATTTAAATTAATGAGATTGCACAAGTGAAGCCTTAAGCTGCAGTATTTTCTATAATGTTTACATAAACAAGAGTCGTCTTTTAATTTAAATAAGAGTTTGTCGTATCATGTGAGTTACTTGTCCATTCCAATTCAATTGAAGTACAATATATTTGTTAAGAGAATTTGTGTGTATATTATAGTGTTTAAAGTGAATTACTGAGTTCTTTTAATAGAATTAAATAATTATGGGATTGTAGTTCTTAAAGGGTTAACAAATGAGTCATGTGCATTAGTTCACCCAAAAACATTGTGAGGGTGAGGTGAGTTATTTACATTATTTTAGTTATGATCATACGTGCTTAATGATAAAACTAAATTCAATTTATGGAATTTAACGAATAAATAAGAAGAAAAAATTCACTTGATGAAAATACTTCATTTACTAGAGAGTTAGTGAAAGGGAAAAGGCTAATAATAGCTAGTCTAAAGGTACGTGTACAACATATGCATCTTAATCATTATCGACTTTATAAAAAATAATATTGTTTATTAGCACACGTATTTTAGAAATTAGATGTGCAAATACACGTGCATCCCGAGTCAATTATTAAACATTATTTGCAAAGAATAATGAATTTCAAATTGCTTATAATTTTTTTTAAAAAATAAAGTGTAAAATAAAATTAAAGCGAAAAGAATGAAAATTTCTTATGAACTAACATTTTCCTTGCCATTTGCCTAGGGAGGTGGCATGTAATTGTCATTGCTGAAAAGATAGGTGTCCTGGTCTAATCCTAGTGTCTAGAATCTTAATAATCATGTCATTCCCATAACTAAATTCTTGCCAAAACCCTAAGTTCTGTACAACCCCACATAATTAGGGGTATGTGTTGTATGCAAGGCAAAAAAAGTTTTTGTAGCCTTACTGAGATAAAACCATCATTTTTCTCCATTTCTTTCACTTACTCGTATGACAATCTGGCTACAAAGCCCGCAGTGATGTGGTGGTAGGAGTGAATAATGCGTCATGGCTTTGCATATTCAAGAACAAATTTTGGTCGATAACATGGATAGTAGCTTACCGGATCAGATGAATCAGCAACAAGTTTTGACAACATGCAAACTTACATGGAAAATATAGTGTTGCGTTTTTATTAAGGAGTGTGAATGGGAAATGGAAGAGGCACCTTTTAGATTGCACCTCTCTATATCACCCTTCCTTTGTCTATAAATTTAGAGGCTTGGCCTCATTTTTAGACATGAAATCAGACATGGAAAATCTGAAATCTTCTTCCCTCTTTTCTACATTGTTGCATTATTTTCTAAATGAATATAAGTGTCAAGTGTGATTTGCTCCGTTTGTTGAGTTCGCTGAAGTTCTGTGATTTGAAGTGCCGCTATCACAGAATTGTTATTCCCTTCTATCATGGGAGGAATTAATCCGTATACCTTAGGCAACAGTGAGGGGATTAAATTCCTTAAGGACACATTGTGCATTCAGTGGGCTCGGAATTATTTTACGATTTGTTTATTGAACTAACGTTTGTTTGCTTCTATAATTTTCTGATTTTTAAACACAGAAATACCAACAATCTTAAGGAATTTAAGCTATTCAACGACACCGTAAGGTCTGGCTTCCAATCACGTTGGATCTGACTGTGAAATGGTGCATGGACAAGATATCAAAAATGAAAAGTAATCAAGTCATGTTTGACTTGAGTTGTTATCAATTAATTATTCTAACAGAATAATTTTGATACCAAATGCTGTGAACATAACGAATAATCATGTGGGAACAACTTCCAAAGGGATGGTGCCTTTGTCTCTCTAGAAGACATTGTTCTTTAACGGTGCATTATTGGGAGGGAAGAAACTGTTTCAGATGGTCGAAGAAGAATTTTATTTCTTGTATTTGACTTCAAGCAGTATGCCTGATCTTATATGACTTAATCAAGAATGAATATACAAGTGATTTAGTCTTGAAGAAAGAAAAGTGTGTGAAGTCAATGTGTTGCAAACGGCAAAGAAAGAAAACGACATATCTTGATCGCTTTGGTTTGGCAATTAGGAAGTTGTTACATTTTTGTCAACAAGGAAAAATTTCTTTGGCCAAAGATGCAAAGGAATAAAAGAGGCCATGAAAGGCAGTGAATCTGACTTTGATGTTTGAAAGAATAGTAGCGGCTATTTAAATACGATTCATTAACAGAAAGTCTTTTGGATCAAATAAGGATCGATGCGGCTGATTTGTGAAGAGATGTGATCAACCATTGCGCATGTTGCAAATGGCTTCATGGTTTTTTCCAACAGGAATTGTCCAGTGAATATGTTCAGGACTATTTAATTTACGGCCAATTCGGTGTCTGTGGTTGATTCCAAATCAAACGATACAAACAAGTCATGATCCAAGAAGAAAGTGGCAATAAAAATCGGGTTATGATTTCTTTACTTGACTAATTTTTTAACTTTCTACTCTTTGTGATTTATGAAATTCAGTTTCTATAAAAGTTAGAGTAGATGTTCATTATATGGTGATCTCAAATATATATTGTGTCTTGCATGCAAATTAATTAAGAATAACTAAGGTTATATTAGTTATATCTTTTGGTATATAACTTTGGTAGCATGCTTGAAATTTATGTGAAAAAATTATTTCAAGGTTGTAAGATATGAGTTAGGCTTACAGTAATACTTGAAGCATTCTTGAGATCATGGATATAATATATGTAAAGATAAAACATATATGTGTATGATTAGAGAAACTGTTTAAAGTGTTATAATGATTTAGTTGGAAAAACCTTTTGGAAAGGGAATTAAAATTCTCGTGAATGTATAATCCCGTTATGGAGACTAAAATCTTAGTGATTTTCTACTCCTACTTTGAGATTAAAATCTGCGTGATTTTTTACTTAATCTTTGAGATTAAAATCATCGTAACGTTCTATTCGTTTTTTTTGAGATTAAAGTCGAAGTGACTTTATACTCGTTTTGGAGATTAAAATCTTAGTGATATTCTACTCCAATTTATTATTCGGTT